TCCTGGGTAGAGAGCTCTGTGCCCCAGGGCAGCTGTTCACTTACCAACAGAGGGCTTGTATGTATTTCAGTTCTTGTCCTTTATCTGCAATAGAATCCCATATTTATCACCAGAAAAGTGGATTAGGCAGCAGTACAAAATAAACAAGTAGGAGAGGTTTTCAACAAAATAATTTTTTGGATGTGACACTCCTTTTGGTGAATCCTATCCAACCCAAATCACTAAAGTTTCTAGTATAGTATCTGCAAAGTGAACAAATATAGGAGAGAAACATTTCTGTCTGTCTTAGCAAGTAGACAGAGAAAGTTACTAGGTCTGGCATCACTTTAAAAGGACTTTTGAAGATTACCACTTAACACTTCTCAGTTACAAGGTTACAATTGGAACCACTGCACCTGTTTGTGTAAATACATAGCCTCTTTAATAATGCAAGGCAGTGATTCTCAGTCAGGGTCACTTGTTAGAAACACCTGAAGTACTGGCACAGTGAGTGCCCAGGCCCCTCCCTAAGCCGTGGCACCTTGACATTGTGGGGCTTTTTCTTTGAGGTAAAATTTACTTTGCAGGGGTTTGCAAAAGTCTTGAATGTACCATATGATGAACAGACAAATGCACACACACCTGTACACCCAGGTCCCACCAAGGCAGAGAACATGATCATTGTACCCTCCTCCTCAGCCATGGTTCTCATTACTTTTTTGTTGTTGTTGTTAATCCTCTGTCGAGGATATTTTTCCATTGATTTTTAGAGAGAGTGGAAGGAAAAAGGAGAGATAGAGAGAAACATTGATGTAAGAGAGACACATCAATTGGTCACCTACTGCACACACCATGACCAGGGCTGGGAACCAGCAACCAAGGTACATGCCCTTGGCCAGAATTGAAGCTGGGACCCTTTAGTCTGTGGGCCAACGCTCTATCCACTGAGCCATACTGGCTAGGGCCTCATTACTTTCCATCACAGATATGTTGTGCCTGTTCCACAACTTTATATAAGTGGATATTGGTGTTTTTCCCAGTGATTCAACAGCCACAGTTGATGAACATTGAGTGGGATAGCTATGTCTGGGTAGCACTTTATTAAATGGGGTAGAAGACCTCCTGAAGTAATATTTTGAAGGAATTGGAGCTGTGAAGGATGGGATAGGTCATATCTATTCAGCCATGGAAGTCACATGTCCCCCTTGTGTTTCCTTTTACATTTTATGTGAAATAGTCCTTTTTCCAAGCTCATATCACCACTTTTAATTGCACATAGTAGAAAAGAGATACTCTAGCTACTTGACTCTAAACAAACTTAAACATGACAAAAAACCAGATTATCATCTTACATTTATCATTTAGATTTGTGAAATTAAGGCCCTCAGTCTGAACACTGCATTTGCAGTCTTCCCAACAGGAAAGAAATATTGCTGCACCTGGTTGCGCTAATTTAGCAGTTCACTTAAGAATGTTTAAACAGATGAAACCAAAGCATTGTGGGATATGACACCCACATTTTGTGTAAATTCTCTGTGGGAAAGAAGTAGGAATTGAAAATGGACCTTTATTTAAACAAGAACAGTTTAGTGCACAAGTTACCTAAACTTAAGCAAAGTAGAATAGGGTTTTCTGTACCGATTCAAAGTGTTTTCAGTGTTTTTGTTACAAAGAAAGACCAATGTAGTTAGGATGTTTTGTCTATAGTGATGTTCTGATTCTATCACTGCATCAGTTTTGCCCATAAGGAAATATTGAGTTGCTTTGTTTTCTAAGGTTCCAAAAAGAAAAGAAGTTAGCCTACTAACAGTGAAGTTTTCATAGATTGGTGTTTGGAGCACAGGAAGGAGAAAAACATATTTCTGTGTACATGTGAACTACACAGCAACCCACGACACAGGACTATGTTGTGGTAGATGTAGTGAAGAACTCATCCCCATCATCACTGCTCAGGTGACTGTAGACAATATTTAGGGAACATTACTCTTCAGCACTACATAAAAGTGGTGGCTGCATATTTCCCCTAAAGAATATGTTACCTATCAAAAGAACCACAGTCCCACAGATATTACAAGGCTTCTAACCTGATGTACATTGTTATTACATCTGAATTTATACAAATTTATGGTTTAATGATCAGATTGATATTTGGGATCAACTGTTTCATACTGTACCCAAAATATTTGGCATGATAGAGCATGTAGCTGGAATCATTGTTTTTACTCTTTCTTTTTAAGGGAATGTAGGTTTTCCAAGAGGTAAGAAAAAAACAGCTTTCTTGGACTTCTTACTTTTTCTCTTCCCTATATCAAGTTTAACAAATTGTTTAGTATAAAAAGCAGTTTGTGGGAGGATGTCCATGCTGCAAAAACATTTGTCCAAAGTGCTAATAGCTGATTGTGCATCAGACCCACTGAGAGCTCCCTCTACACTACTGTGAGATTTGCAGAATGCAGGAACTGAGCTTAGTTCTCTGTTGTGTCTGGCTTATGGAAGGGACCAATTAATAGTTCTCACATGTTTGTGTGCGTGAGAATCACTGGGGATCTTGTTAAAAATGAGACTTCACAAGCTACATCAAAGCCCTTCTCCCCCCGAAATTATAAACACGGGGTCCAAGAAAGGTCATTGCCTTTTAAACTACACATCTACACCCTTGGTGCTTGGTCTTGGTCATGTCACAAATACCTGAGGAATTAACAAATAGAAGAGTGAACAAGCAGATACAGAGAGCACAGGACCTTCCACCAGAAATTCCAGCTCAGATGCTCAGAGGTAAAGCCCAGCTGCATTTTAAGAAGCTCCATTTAGAAGCTGTGTGCACAGGTCATACCGTAAAGCTGGGTAAGGAAGGAACCATTGATTGTGTCTGTGCATTTTGCCAAAGAATTCAGGCAAAAAGTGGAAGGAGCAAGTCACTTTAAATGTGACTTTAAATGTGAAGCCCATGAAACAATCTCCAGCTAAGAAAATACTTTTCTATGTTTTATTTATATACTAAGGCCCGGTGCACGGAATTTGTGCACTGGTGGGGGCGTGACCTGTGGGGATCCACCTGCTGCGGGAGCAGCCGTTCATTCCAGTCAGTCGAGTGTCCCCCTGGTGGTCAGTGCACGTCATAGTGACTGGTCAACCGGTCGTTCTGCTATTCGGTCACTGGGCTTTTATTATATACTAGAGGCCCCGTGCATGAAATTCATTCAGCCCAGCCTGCACCCTCTCCAGTCAGGGACCCCTTGGGGGAATGTCCGACTGCCGGTTTAGGACATCCCTCTCAAATCCGGGACTGCTGGCTCACCTGCCTGCCTGACCGCCCTAACTGCCCCCCTAACTGACCCACTGAGAGCTCCCTCTACACTACTGTGAGATTTGCAGAATGCAGGAACTGAGCTTAGTTCTCTGTTGTGTCTGGCTTATGGAAGGGACCAATTAATAGTTCTCACATGTTTGTGTGCGTGAGAATCACTGGGGATCTTGTTAAAAATGAGACTTCACAAGCTACATCAAAGCCCTTCTCCCCCCGAAATTATAAACACTGGGTCCAAGAAAGGTCATTGCCTTTTAAACTAGCCTGATGACCCCTAACCATCTCTGCCTGCCGGTGTGGTTGCCCCCAATTGCCCCCCCTGCCGGCCTGGTCGCCCCCAACTGCCCCCAGCCCTGCTGGCCTGGTCGCCCCTAACAGCCGCACCCCCGCCAGCCTGGTTGCCCCACGCAGCCTAGTGTTCAGTCATCAGTCCGGTTGTTTCAGTTGTGATGACTCCTAGCTTTTTATATATTAGGACTAGAGGCTCAGTGCACGGCATTCGTGTAAGGGGGGGGGGGGGGTCCTTTAGCCCGGCCTGCGCCCTTTAGCAGTCAGACATCCTTAGTGCTGCCACAGAGGCGGGAGAGGCTCCCACCACCGCTGCTACGCTCGCCAGTTGTGAGCCCGAGCCCGGCTTGTGGTTGAGCAGCACTCCCCCTGTGGGAGCACACTGACCACCAGGGGGCAGTTCCTGCATTGAGCATCTGCCCCTTGGTGGTCAGTGCACATCATAGCGACCATTTGTTCCGCCGTTCGGTTGATTTGCATATTACCCTTTTATTATATAGGATAGTATTTTAATATTGTGTGTATAATCAATTCGCTTAAGCTCTGGCTAAGACTTCTCAGTTACATGAGAAATGTAACTGTATTAAGCATATTAAGATGATTTCCTGCATTTACGTTTCTTTGGGAGTTATAATCTAGTGGCCTGAAAAAGTTAAAGCATCTGTTAGTAGGTAGCCCAGACCTACTCGGTCCTCTGCTGTGCCATCTGCTTATGACCCAGTGTCTGCTGTGATTTCTTAACCTTGACTAAAGAAATGAGAATGTTTGTCTTCATTTCTTTGCTATCTACAAAGGACATAAGAGAAATAGAATCCTGGATTTTTCCTTCTTCATGTGAAGTTAGATTTTCTGAGAGATAAATTGAAGAACCTAATTAGCTTTTAGGCCAGCCTGACAGAAATTGGATTTATACTGACTAGATCAATAGCACTTTAAGACAGATATGTAGGTGTGTGCCACTGCACTACTGCACATATTTCATAAGTAACAGATTTTTAATAAAGTTATTTTGAAAGTCACCATGCACGATTGCTAATTTAAAATGCACCCTAAAGGACTTCAGCCATTCATTATGAATATATATCAAAATAAGTGATTCTATATTATGTCATTATTATGTTATCATTATTGTTGTCATTTCTTTTTAATCTGAAAATTGGTTTAAGTTCCAAAATATCAAGAAACAAATGCATAATTTTCTAAGGTATTATTTCAAGTACAACATAATATTTTCTGATTCTTATTACAGTACATGTTATTTTTGCTATGCAAATCTCAAAATCCTCTGTATCAAATATTTTGGAAATAGTGCATTTTATAAATGAAATTTTAGCAGACTATAATCTTTTATATATAGAAGTCTTTTACGTGAATATAGACATATAAATGATCAGATTTTATATCTGGCCTTTCCTGTTTTTAACAGAGCATCAAGAAGAAAAATACAAACAAACAAGAGATGAGCACATACCTGAGGTTCATAGTCTCCCGCATGAAGGAGAGGGTGAGTCCTGCCCCTGGAGTCTTCCCAATTAGATTTCACTCTGGTTCACTCTTTAAAAGTTAATGATTGACAAGTAAATATGTATAGAGCAGTTTTGTCATAATTCTTTTGTATAATAAATAGTTCTATAATAGGCTTTTAGATATTTGTGTTTTGTCTTTGTTTTAGAACAGACATTTCTTTAGCTGCATTAGATTAGAAACATTTACATTTAAAAAATTTGTTTATCAGAACATTTTCATTGATAGTGTTTAAAATGAAATGGAACGCTCCAAAATAACTGTTTTGTCAAAACCTTAAGGAATGCCATGTTAAACTATATAGTGCATGTACATTTCTCTGTTAAGTTCTAAAGTACTTCTTTAGAAATTGATGTTTTACCTGTCTCTCTCTAGCCACATTTAAACTGGTGTATTTAATGACCTTTCAGGCTATAGACCTTAATAAAAAGGGAAAGGACAGCAAACACCCGATGTACCGGAGGCTGGTGCATTCAGCGGTTGACGTCCCCACCATACAAGAGGTAAATCCAGGCCTTCCGTACTGCTTCCCATTTACCTCATGGCTCCCAGGTGAATGAGAGATCACAGCCAAGCATGATCCTGGGTGCCATTCCTTCTTGAGGAGGATGTGCCTGCACAGTGTCTTACTAGAACCAGCTAAGCATGGCCACCACACGTACGTGCCTATTGTTTTAAATTTCGTGTGATCACTCTGGTACAACCAGGCCTTTTAATAGGGCTGGTTTTAAGCGACCTGTAAAGTCTTGATACTTGTTTGTGAAAGCAAATGGATGGGACCCTGGTCAATTTAATATTTCAGATGTAGAAAATTCACATCTGGACACAGGTCCCTAGTTTTAGCAGTAGTACTTGGGGTTTTCTCTCAAGGAAAAATTAGAGCATAGAACTAATCTAGAGTCTTGGGAAACAATGAAATGAACTTGAATCAAATTATTCTTGAAGTTCTTAATGTTATCAATGCTAGCTGAGGATTGTTGGGTTTGTTAATATTTAATTACTAATTGCAATAAAATCCCCTAGAACACTTAGACATGTTTTAAGTTAGGGTTGCTGAATTACTAATTTTGTAATTTATGTGTCATTTTGAAATTTTAAAATCTTATGGTTGGCCATAATAGCTTATAGGAAGATCGTAGGAATTATTTGAAATTATCTTATAAGTTTCCTAATCCCTTAGCACAGTGGTTCTCAACCTTCCTAATGCCGCGACCCTTTAATACAATTCCTCATGTTGTGGTGACCCCCAATTTCTTTGTTACAAATTGAACATAATTGAAGCATAGTGATTAATCACAAAAACAATATGTAATTATATATGTGTTTTCCAGTGGTCTTAGGCGACCCCTGTGAAGGGGTCATTCGACCCCCCCCCCAAAGGGGTCACGACCCACAGGTTGAGAACCGCTGCCTTAGCAGCTGAGAAAGACTAAAGGTGTATTATTTCTATGGAAGGAAAGGGTAAATGACAGTTGTTCCCTTAAAATTCTGGCAAATCCTAGAATAAAAACAATTTAAATTTTACCTACTACTGGCAGATTTCATAGCCTCAGGTATAGCCTCTTTTCCTAAACTCTGAGGCCTCTGAAAGAATGTTGAACCCAGTTGCCCTTCCTGCCCTTGCCCGTGCTCCTGCAGCTTTCCCTTCCTGCATGGCACCGACCCAGATCCCCAGTTTGATCCTCTTGGCTCCATAGAGAACACTAGATGGGTGGATGCTGTCTTGGTTCTCTGCTTGGCAAGTGCTATTCATGAGCAAAAGCACTGTAAGAAAAGTAGAGGAAGACGTGATTTTTATGGTTGTAGGAGCTTAACTACAATCCAGGTCAAAATACAAGGCACAGTGCATACCTCACAAATCACAAAGAGGGTATAAGCATCCCGGAGCCCAATACAGTAAATTGTGGCACATGACAGGAGGCAACTACCTTCAGCTAGGGAATCTGGGAGAAGCCTTCCGAAAAAGGGCCACTGAATTGGGTTTTGGAGGATTTCAAGAAAAAGGTTGGTTCTTAACCTTTTTTTAAATTGATATTTAGAGAGAGAGGGAGGGAGAGAGAATGAAACATTGATCAGCTGCCTCCTGCACACCCCTTCCTGGGGATCAAGCCCAGAACCTGGGCATGTGCCATGAGCTGGAATCGAACACTGCAACCTTTCAGTGCCCTGGACTACACCCAGCCAACTGAGTCACACCTGTCAGGGCAGGTCTTAATTATTCTTTAGAGGCCTTAATATTTTAGTATTTGAAAGCCAAGCAATTTTCAAACCTATTTCCTAAAAATATCACGAGGATAAGAAAATGCCTTCTTGTTGTGGAGTTAATTTGTCATACCCCCTTCTAAAAATTTTGTCTTATCCCAGAAACCCCTCAGATTTCCCACCTAACCTTTCCCAATTCAGAATTACAAATGTGTCTTCTTTAGTTATGTTAAACTATCACAGAGGCTAACAGTTCTTTTTCTTCAATCTTTATTCTCCTGTGTTATAATAAGTAGTTAAGTTCTCATCAGCGACATTGGCCAAAGCTTTTAACTGTTTACAGTGAGCTTTTATCATCGCTACACAAGAAGATGTTCAAGCTGCCAAGTTCACTCTAGTAAATCAGTAGAAAAGACAGCAGTGGCTATAGGACAGCAGATCTGCCACACTTCACCATACTGTCACATTCTAACTGCACTGGAGTTGTGGGTTTCTCTTACATATGGTGTGTCAACACTGTGGGACACAGGAGTAGCCATGATGTTGTTTGGAAAAATCTGTTGCATCCCATACTCTAACCATGTTATCATATTGCAGACAAATATTTTTACTAGTAACTCTTGCCATTTTGTTTTTTAATCACTGCAGAAAGTGAATGAAGGGAAATACCGAAGTTATGAAGAGTTCAAAGCTGATGCTCAGCTACTTCTCCACAATACAGTGATTTTCTATGGAGGTTGAATATTTTTTGCTTTTTCTTTTGCATTTTTTTTCATACCATTTACATTCCATGTTGAGAAATAACTTTTATAAAATATTACATTAAAATTAGTATTTTAATGATCTGTAAGTAATGTTATGGTTTAATCTTAAAAATATTTGGTAATGTAGTTATAGCTTATAGAATGAACTGTCCAAAAGCAAAACACTAGTACACTAAATGATGAAAGTATTACTTTTTATAGTTTTATTTATAAACTTAGTTGAAAGGCTTTTTATAAGCGCTGTGATTAATTCTGGTTGTTTCCCCATTAATATTCTATCATTTAAAGGTAAAGAAAGAGGCCACTCTATACCTAGAGAATTAGTGCTATGTTAGATGTGAAATTAAAGCTGCCTGTAGAATTTTATTTCACTGCCTGAACTTTTAAAAACAATACACATTTTGTTTTAAATGGTATATATCTACTTTTGTCAAAATGAAAGAAAATTTAAGTGAGTATTAATTTTGGTAGTCTGTATTTTAGATTATTGGTAATGGATATCTGTCTTTAATTACAGCAGACAGTGAGCAAGCTGACATTGCAAGAATGCTGTATAAAGATACCTGTCATGAGGTACTGTCTATACCTAGTAATTAAACTCTTACTATATTTCGAATTAATTTATTTCACAATCCCACTCATCTTACATATTTTAATTTTGCAATTTCCATTAAATATAAACTTATTTCCATTTTTTATATACATGGGAAATAATGCAAATAGAGGCAAAAAATTCTGTCAAACTATTCTCAGAGACATCCTAGGAGATTTAGTTACTAAGTAACTTCTACAAAGAAATTTTGTTTGCTCTTTTTTAATTACCCTTAAGTTATTGGTTACCTAATGCATGTACATGTTTTGTATGGGGCAGTGACACTCAACAAATGTTACCTTCTTTGGATAAAGGATACTACACAGGCAAAAAAAGAACAACCAAACAACACAGTTCATATTTATATAGTAAATGAAATACTATTTTGGGAAGGTTTTTTTGTGTATATGGTCTTTCTTATTTGAAACACCTGTAATCATATTGTCTTTGCAAAAGTGTCTCAATTATATAAAAGTTTTGTTTCTTAAATTCATTTCAAATTTGACTTTTTAAAATCCATTAAATATATGTTTACTGAGTGTCTATTGTGTGCTGGGCGTGTGTTAGGAGGAATGAAATGGTGATCAAGGTACTGGCTTCCTGCTAATGGAGCTGTATTCTGAAGAGGGATACTTAAATAAGAAACAGTCAAAATATGTTTATAAGTTGGAAAAAAAATGTTATGAAAGAAAACAAAGACTAAAATGGAGAATGAGGCAAAGTAAGGACTGCTATTATTGGTAGTGGATATTTTATGTGGGTAGATGAGGAAGACCTTACTGAGGAAATTGCATTAATCCAAGAACTAAAGAGCCAAAGGCACCAGTGAGGCTGGAACGCAGAGGTCAGACATGCCAGGCCTTGTAAGGAATTTGTTTTCTCTTTTAAATGCAATCTGAGACCATGGGGGTGGTTTGAACAGGAAAGTGGCAGCTTTTCCAATATTATTGAAAACTTAAAATTTAAACTTAGGAACAAAATTCAAGGCTATTTGTGTACATGAACAAGAATGTTAATTTACGTGGATCGATTTTATATAGTTTAATGCAGATCTTTATATTTTGTAGGCTAAAATAGTTGTTTTTCTTTTTCAGCTGGATGAGTTACAGCTTTGCAAGAACTGCTTCTATTTGTCAAATGCTCGTCCTGACAATTGGTTCTGCTATCCTTGCGTATGTGACATTTTGTGATTTTTTGTGTTTTACCTCTTAAGTATATGATGCTCTAAGGAAGTTTATTTCCAGTTTGCTTAAAGTTTATAATCCTTCCTAAATATGTTTCTTTATATCATAGGACATATGGTTTCAATGAGTGTAAAAACTGAGACATGGGAAAAACAACTTGGGATTGTTATCCAATTTTGACTTTAAAACAAGGAACTTAAGACTAAACATTGAGTCCCTTAATATATATAATAGGTTTTTGCTTTTCTTCTCATTCTTTCACAAGAAATTGAAGGCTTTATAGATGTTAATACCTGTATAATTTCCCCTAAAATGAGATGATTTCAGGAAGGGTGATGACAAGAAAACCGTGAGTGTTCTGGGGGCCCCAAAGGCACGGATGTAAAAGGCCACCTGAGAGGAATCGGTCTTCCAGAAGTTATGTGCTTCTCAGTCACTTGAAAGTTTTTTAAAATTTGAATCTCTGATTAGTTAGGTTTGAATCAGGGCTTCAAATCCTCCCTCATGAAACACAGTGAGGGCCTTCTGTTTGCCCCCACTGCCTCATTTCATAGTGCTACAGGATAGTAAGTGGGTATTTTTCTCGTCTCTTCTCAGAAATGAAGGTCCATATTCCTTCTCTAACGCAAATTTTAGTTTTTGGTGTTTTTCTTGGAGGCAAAGTCAGTCAATCCCAGAAAAAAGAAAACAAGTTCTATGTGTTTAGTAATGTTTTCAAAATAATGAGTTATACTTAACTAATTCAATATTAATGAATGATACACTTATACTTAATACTTTAAAAGTAATGACAAGGTAGAACGTTTTATTTGCAGATACCTAATCATGAACTGGTTTGGGCTAAGATGAAAGGTTTTGGATTCTGGCCAGCCAAGGTCATGCAGAAGGAGGACAATCAGGTTGACGTCCGCTTCTTTGGTCACCACCATCAAAGGTAATCATGACCCACATGCAGCCGTAGTAGCTGAGCTCTCAGTTCTTTTTTTTTTTTAAATATATTTTATTGAGTTTTTACAAAGAGGAAGGGAGAGGGATAGAGAGTTAGAAACATCGATGAGAGAGAAACATCAATCAGCTGCTTCCTGCACACTCCCTACTGGGGATGTGCCCACGACCAAGGTACATGCCCTTGCCCAGAATCGAACCTGGGACCCTTGAGTCCGCAGGCCGACGCTCTATCCACCGAGCCAAACCGGTTAGGGCAAGCTCTCAGTTCTTAAGACTCAGTCCGGCCATTACCAGTGTTCTGGTAGCTTTATCAGAAACAGCATGAAGTTTCTTAAGAAACAGCATATAACTTGACTAGGCAACTAACAATGAGTTCTATAAATTGTGTCTTTAGGTATATTTCAGTTACTTTTTACTAAGCAAGATAGTTTCAGTAACTGACACTGTTGAACTCAGATGCATGTTAATGCTGACCTGAATTCCTGATGGCAGTGAAGGGGGGAAGGATTCTTAAGATGTGTCCATTTCATAGTATTCTAATGACATTATGGTGGTTTCAACCATCTTTCAAAAGCCATAGACAAAAATAAGCAACTCAGTAGTAGAATAGAATTTCAATCTTGGGATCTAAGTATATATAAGAATTATATGCATAGAATTACCAGACATTGTTTCCAATCTAGATTTTAAAGTTTCTGTTGCTAGGGATATGTATACAGCAAAGCATAAAATTTGCATTTTCATAATATAACAATATATGTATCCCAAGGGTAAAACCCCTTTTTATTACTATAAAATTATTTTTGCATAGTTATTTGACATACAAAATGCTAAACTGTTCTATAAAATTATAGCTATCTCCTTTATTGTGATATTAAGGCCTTAAATTTTACTGCACATTGAACATTAGAAAGTCTAAGATAGTGTCCTAAATAATGTGTCATAAAAGCATTGACTCTAAAAGTGAATTCAAGTACTGTGAACTGTCATAGGACTCAGAGATTAATGAGTCTAACTAACCAAGCCACAATAGGAAAAATAATTCACATGAAATTTGTGGGGGGTTCATTTAACACAAATATTAAATTAAAGGGAGAAAGTGCCAAAAGTCAGCTACATGATCTAAAAGTGTTACTTACTGTCCAAGGATTTAAATTTACATTTCATGAAGCGTCTGTCTCCTATCATGCCTGGAGGGTAAGTGTCCTGTATAGTTGTTATTACTATAAAAGAAGCTACAGAATGAGACTTTATTCCTCCCATAGTGAATTTTTACCTAGTCTCCATTTAATTTAAGTAGAAGTTTAGTTCTAAGAAACCTGTGAATAGTGTAAATTTCCAAAAAAGTTTTGTTCTTTCATAGATAGATGCACAATCAGCTGACACTGCTTTAATGGCAAGAAACATTAGTTAAATAATCCTATCTAATAAATAGGGAATATGCTAATTGACCCTCACGCTGTTGCAAAGATGGCGGCGCCCACAGTCAATAAGGAGGGAATATGCTAATTTACTGCCATGCCCTCAAAGATGGCGGCACCCACAGCCACAAGATGGCCAGCAGGGGAGGGCAGTTGGGGGCGATTGGGCCAACAGAGGAGGGCAGTTGGGGGCAATCGGGCCGGCAGGGGAAGGCAGTTGGGGGCGATCGGGCCGGCAGGGGAGCAGTTAGGCGTCGATCAGGCTGGCAAGGGAGTTGTTAGGGGGTGATCATGCTGGCAGGCAGAAGCAGTTAGGGGCAATCAGGCAGGCAAGCGGTTGGGAGCCAGCAGTCCTGGATTGTGAGAGGGATGTCCGACTGCCAGTTTAGACATCCAGCAGTTTAAACCAGCAGTCAGACATCCCCCGAGGGGTCCCAGATTGGAGAGGGTGCAGGCTGGACTGAGGGATACCCCCCCCCCACCCAGTGCACGAATTTCATGCACCAGGCCTCTAGTAATACCATAATTAAGTACAAAATGAATGTTCAAATTGTATGATTAAGTGGTAATTTTCAATGTTACATGCTCATATTCAGTTTGTTTCAGTTTTCCATCAAAACCAGTGGGGAAGCAATGCACACGTCACAAGTGAGTTAGGGCAGCCGTTCTATAGAAACACTAATCTGTAGAAATCTCTAAATTGATACCAGGGAAGGTCCAGTGGTTAGATTTGTGTTCTTGCACCATCGTTTTCTACTCTAGTCTTGGGCAAGTTATTTAGTCTCTCTCAGCCTTGTTTCCTCACTTATAAAGTAGGGGCCTCATTAGTACCTATCCTGTATGAGTTTATACGGTTTAAAGAAATTTTTATATATAAAGACCTCATTACATATAAAATAAAATTATATTTCCAGAAGTTTTTTTCCCCAAAAAACTTTCTGTAAGATTTTTATCTGAAGATTCTGGGCAGATGGGACTCAAGCTTTTATTTTAGAATATAAAAGATCTACAATTTTACTGTCAATCTAGTCTTTTTCCTTTCCTGGTTACAGTGTAACCAGTACAATATTTGAAGTGAAGGATTGATGAAGGAACACCTTGAAAATGATTCTCTATCATTATTAGAATATTTGATTTATTGGAAAACAAACTTTATAAATATTATGATCATTAGTTTTAATTACTTAAACAACATGTTATACAATGAGAACAGATGGCTAATAAGGGCTACCAGCTGAAAGTTTTCATTAATAAATACTTTTTTTAAATGTACAAGTTTAGTGGTATTTAAATACATTCTCATTGTTATATAATGATCCAATAAATATTCTTCTGTCATTTCATCATGTCTTTACATGTAGGTAGAAAAAAATATTTTTTAATAAATAAATGGTTTCAGACTAGTCCCTTCTGTACACTCAGAATGTGCTACCTTGTCCCTTGACCTTGGTAAATTGTAATGTTCTAGGAAAGAAAGGTGACTGTGATCCCTCCAGCGGTTCTCAACCTGTGGGTCACGACCCCTTTGGCGGTCGATCGACACTTTCACAGGGGTCGCCTAAGACCATCCTACATATCAGATATTTACATTACGATTCATAACAGTAGCAACATTACAGTTATGAAGTAGCAACGAAAATAATTTTATGGTTGGGTCACAACATGAGGAACTGTATTTAAAGGGCCAGAAGGTTGAGAACCACTGCCTTAGAGTATAGGTAAGATTTGCAAGGTTTTGCCTGCAAGAGGAAAAAAAAGTAGCTGATAAGGTCTCCTTGTCAAGGCTAACTCTTTCTGCTGCATGTAGTTAGAGGGTGGGGTGGCACAGCCAGAAAATCAGGTCCTACAAGAAAAAATAGAATGGTTTATGTTCATTTGCCTTCAGATATCCCTGAGCCATTTTATTCTGCATATATTCAAAGAATCATGACAGATGTATAGATATAGCCAAATTAGATTATATCTCTGTTTATTAACACTTTAAATTGTGGAGTGTTTGTTTGCCATTTCAGTTATTTTTTTTGTAGATCAGATCTCATACCCACTGATACCTTTAAAAGTGAAATCTGATTACCTACAATAATGGAGTTAATTAAAGAGGAGATTTATATGCATAGCCCATGGACACGGGCAATAGGGTAGTGAAGACCTGGGGTGGTAGGTAGGGGCTGGGAGGAGGAAGGTAAAAGGGGGGCGGGGAGTGAGAGTTATCTGTAATACTATCAACAATAAAAATAAATGTATTTTAAAAAGAGGATAAGAATGTATTATGAACAACATTGAGAATTAAGTCCCATGTTAAGAATAGATACTAATTAATTTTATTGTATCCAGGGTACAAGTAGATAATTTAAGGGGAAATACTTTCACAGTTCAGGAGTTTGTTACAGGTAGTCAGCATTGTTCATAATAGAAATCTCTCTAAAAACCCACAGCTTTTAAAAGTGAACCAAAATACCCTTGTTGGTAGGAGTAATACTCAAGATCAGATGGGCCACACTCACTGTTGTATGCTTTGCGGTGTCTTCACCAGCACACAGTAAACAGCATTCTCGATATTATTTCAGTCCAGTCTAATGATTAGTGCCCAGGAAAATTGTCAGCATTTTTTCCAATAAAACCAAATACATTTTTCATTCTGTAGTTTTAGATCAATATTACATATAATTCAGAGACACTTGAAGTTGTGTTCATAGTTGTGTACTTGATTGCTGAATGAGTCAGACACTTCTCTGTCCATTAATTAAATATGGTTCAGCTAATGAGTAGGGATGTAATATAAATATAACTCACTAGATAATATTTTTTGGAAGCCCTCATATGTATGAATCTCATGAAAATTTCTGGGCATTTTCAAATGATTCTGTACTTCTAATCTGCAAATAGCTAGATTTTAAGTAACTTACAGTATTTAGATCAATAAGAGATAACATTTTAAAAAGGACTTATGCAAAATGTATATCTAAACCATGACAATGTTAAGCTGGTTAAAGAAAATAGTTCTGAGATAATTTGAGACACTTCAGTGATTGGTAAGAGTTTTTATTCAAGCCATAGCTAACAGGTCAGTAAATTGGAATTTCCACAAACCATACTTTACAAATGGATGGAGTCCACCACCATTTTGGAAATTTCTAACTATACCTTTAAATGTTGCTAGGGCTTGGATTCCTTCTGAAAACATACAGGACATCACAGTCAATGTCCATCGGCTGCATGTTAAACGCAGTATGGGTTGGAAAAAGGCTTGTGATGAGCTGGAACTGCATCAACGTTTCCTTCGTGAAGGAAGATTTTGGAAGTCTAAGAATGAGGACCGTGGGGAGGAGGAGGCAGAATCCAGTATCTCCTCTACCAGCAATGAGCAAGTGAGTGGTGTCCACATAGAAACCACACATCAGTTATTATTTTAACTGTGAACATTGTTAATGCACACTCCTTGCTGTAAAGCAGTGGTTCTCAACCTTCCTAATGCCACAATCCTTTAATACAGTTCCTCATGTTGTGGTGACACCCAACCATAAAATTATTTTTGTTGCTACTTCATAACTGTAATTTTGCTACTGTTATGAATCGTAATGTAAATATCTGATATGCAGGATGTATTTTCATTGTTACAAATTGAACATAATTGAAGCATAGTGATTAATCACAAAAACAATATGTAATTATATATGTGTTTCTGATGGTCTTAGGCGACCCCTGTGAAAGGGTCGTTCTACCCCTAAAGGGGTCGCGACCCACAGGTTGAGAACCGCTGCTGTAAAGACTGCTCTGACATTTCTCCTTTTTTTCGTGTAAACATTTGTGAAGTGCTCTGCAAAAGAAACTGAACCCAATTCAGATAGCTAGGCCACCCACACCCTGATCTGATCCTGCCTGTTTGAAGAGTTAAGTGCTCTACTGCTCTTCCACAGGCGCATTAGCTCTTTCAAGCCCTGCACATCAGAGCAGTAATGAGTAAGAGGTGCCTTCGTGAAATGGAATGAGCTACTTCTTACCTGTGGGTCCATAGCTAGTATTTTTAGCAGAGAAGTGTTTCAGTGTCTGGAATAATATGCTGTTACTTTTATGATGCCCACAGCTAAAGGTCACTCAGGAACCAAGAGCAAAGAAAGGGCGACGTAATCAAAGTGTGGAACCCAAAAAAGAAGTAAGTTGTGTACCTTGAAGTTTCCTGGTGGCATTGGCACAGAAAATGTTTTCAAAGTTACAGTCAAGATGATTGCTCGTGATGTGTACTTGTGAAATGCATTGCCATCAGTCAGATAATATCAGCCAAGTGTGAACCCAGTCTTCTGACCATTATCATATTCTATCACTGGAAAAACACACATGTGCCAAGCCTCCACCTCAATTGAGCAACCACTGACCAAATCTGGCTAAGTGCGAGTGCACTTTTTGGTATTTCCTGGAACTCTGATATGTTCTCATGGCATTATGAAATACATTGTGTTTATCTAGTACATCAGTTAGGCCAGCATTTTAAAACAGGAGGAAACTATGGTTAAGCTCAGCCTTTTAAAGTATATAATCCATGCATGTTTTAAATCCAGGTGTATATTTGGGTATAGGCCAAACACATGTTCACTGAAAAGTGGTTTAGGATTTTAGGAAATTCGTTAATAAATCTAGTCCAAAAAATGACTATAAATTGATAATGATTTAAAATGATAAATGTTTTTGTTTAGTTTTTTAAAATCAAATGAGTATTAACATATAATGAAATTGTAGATGAAGTTACTGTTTAGAACCATTGTAGCTACTAATTGCATGTGTTTTTAGTTGTTTTTTTCCATTTTTTAATATTTAATTATGGTAAAATATATCTAATAGCATGTACTTACTATTAATTACATGTGTTTTTTTAAAAAGTTTCTTATATAGCTATTTTATGTTATCACTGTTTTATCCTGATAGAGCTTATTCTTGAATAGTGAGTTAATGGTTTTGTTTTACATTGAAGCACTTTCCTTACCCTTTAGGAACCAGAGCCTGAAACTGAAGCAGTCAGTTCCAGCCAGGAAATCCCCACATTGCCTCAGCCAATCGAAAAAGTTTCAGTGTCAACTCAGACCAAGAAGTTAAGTGCCTCTTCACCAAGAATGCTGCATAGAAGCACCCAGACCACCAGTGATGGAGTGTGTCAAAGCATGTGCCACGACAAATACACCAAAATTTTCAATGACTTTAAAGACCGAATGAAGTCTGATCACAAGCGAGAAACTGAAAGAGTTGTACGAGAAGCTCTAGAAAAGGTCAGGAGCCCCCACAGTGTGACTTGCCCTCTTACCCCTGGGCATAGTGAGTGAGTCTTTCCCTGTAGCAGTTTAGCTTCTTTCACTCATGTCTCAGCCAGACAGCTGCTTTTTAAAACTAGAAATAACACTAAAAATAGGAATAAAATAAAATATCTTTTATGCTATTTCAAGCAACAATACCTAAATATTTCTCACCTGAATGAATATTCACAGCTCTTAGTAAAATAAAGGGAAGAGGTACATCGTTTAAGTAGAAACTATGTATTAAGGCCTTTGTAAATTGTGAGCTGACATATTGTGGGTTAACTTGTTTTTCATTTCAGCTGCGTTCTGAAATGGAAGAAGAAAAAAGACAAGCTGTAAATAAGGCTGTCGCCAATATGCAGGGTGAGATGGACAGAAAATGTAAACAAGTAAAGGAAAAGTGTAAAGAAGAGTTTGTAGAGGAAATCAAGAAGCTAGCAACACAGCACAAACAACTAATTTCTCAGACCAAGAAGAAGCAGTGGGTAAATATCAATATAATTTTTAAGCATCTGATTATTGAAAATATACCACAGGTATGATGAAAATCAATTCAGAATGATATATGTGACATATGCAAATATTATTCATGAAATAAGATAAAATGTGAAATTGTCAGGTAATTTTCTCATCCTCACCTAAGGATATGTTGTTTTTTTTAATTGATTTTTTAGAAAGAAAGAGAAACATTGATTGGTTGCCTCCCTTTCTTGCCCCAAGCAGGGATCAAAACCACAACCTAGGTATGTGTCCTGACCAGGAATGGAACCCACAACCTTTTTTTTTTTTTAAATATATTTATTGATTTCAGAGAGGAAGGGAGAAGGAGAGAGAGATAGAAACATCAATGATGAGAGAGAATCATTGATCGGCTGCCTCCTGCATACCCCTACTGGGGATGGAGTCCGCAACCCAGGCATATGCCCTTGGCCAGAATCAAACCTGGGACCCCTCAGTCCGCAGGCTGACGCTCTATCCACTGAGCCAAGCCGGCTAGGGCGGAACCCACAACCTTTTGATGTACGCAATGTTGCTCCACCCAGCTGAGCCACCCAACCAGGGCTAATTAATTTTTAAATTTTATTTAAAGTTCTATAATTTCTCAACTCCAGACCCCACAGTTTTGTTTAGGATTATTTTGCTAAATTGAGATTATGATACTTTAGTACATAACATATTTAGTACAATTTATTTATATAACCTTTCCATATATGCAAGTATTTTATTTGGAAAAATTGGCTGGCCCCGACTTTTGCCTGTTAGCTCCTGATAGGTAATACCTAAATTGTGAAATTAGAAATGTAAGTATCACAATAGCAAATAGAGGATTTTCAGAATTACTGCACTTAACATTTATATATTAGGTTATATTAAAGAAATTGATTACTTTTACTTTATGATGGTAACACCTCACTGGTCTCTAACTCCAGTTAGAATCTGAGAAGTAGTTCATTTTTCATTGTATCCTGTTTGTGACTCTTGTCTCCCACTTATATTAGAAACTTCTGAGCATACACATTCTCCACAGATCTCAGGTAATTGGTGGGGGGGAAAATTTTTGTTCCCAAATGCTCATAACTTGGTTTTAATTTTATGAATTACTGTAGGAAGTTTAGTGATTCTTCATTTGATCCAGACTATGTTCTGAAGAGTCTTTAAATACATGTAAAGTAAATGTTTCATGAGGGAAGTAAACATAAAAATGATTACAAAGATTGGGCAAGAAGGAAAAGGGAAAGTTAGCATATAATATAGAAAAATCTATGTAAATAAGTTGGTAGGAAAAAGAGATGAATAATGAAATAATGCCACTATATGGAAATTAAGGTGTGCTCAAGGACAATACCCTTACACCATGTCTGTAATTCTACCTTCATGCAAAGACCAGAGAAAGCCAGAAAGTGGACACTAGATTTAAGAGAAGAAATCCCCATAAGTTTACCAAACAAGGAAATGGAAAGAGGAGGCTGTAATAAAGAATTATAATACTGCCTTTTATAGCACTTACATTTGTGAATTTGGTCCTATTATACCTATTCATTTGATTCCACATATAAGTGATAACCATGCGTATTTGTCTTTCTCTAACTGACTTGTTTTACTTAGCATAACACTGTTCTCTAGCTCCATCCATGTTGTCACAAATGGTAGGAATTCCTTCTTTCTTTGAATAATACTCCATTGTGTGTGTGCGTGTAGGTGTGTGTGTGGCGGCGGGGGCGGGGGGGGGGTATCATCCTCTTTATTCATTCATCTGTTGACAGACACTTAAGTTTTGTCAAAATGTTGTCTATAGTGAATATGCCACTGAACACTATATAAGATAGTGGTCCAGTCCCCCCCTCCCCGCTTTTGGATAAATACCCACAATGGGATTCTGAATCCATATGGCAGTTCTATTTTTAAATATTTGAGGAGCTTCCATACTGTTTTCCATAATGGCTGCACCATTTTACATTCCTAACAACAGTGCACCAAGTGTTCCCTTTTCTCCACATTCTTATCAGCACTTATTTCTTTTTGGTACTAGCCTTTCTAAAAGTTGTAAAGTGACAATCTCATTGTGGTTTTGATTAGTATTTCCCTGATTATTAGAGATGTGGAGCACATTTTCATGTACCTGTTGGCCATCAGTATGTCTTTGGAGAAATGTTTATTCAAGTCCTTTCCCCATGCTTTAATTGGATTATTTGTTTTCTGTTGAGTTGTATGGGTTTTTTTTATTTATTTTGGATATTAACCCCTTATCAGATATATGCCTTATCAGATATATGATTTGAAAATATTTTTTTCCATTCCACAGGTTACCTTTTTATTTTGTTGATGGTTTTGTTTACTGTACAGAAGGCTTTTAGTTTAATATGCTCAACTTGTTTATTTTTGTTTCCTTTGCTTTGGTGTCAAATAAAATTTTTTTTAAGATCATCAAGACTGATAACTAGGAGCTCTTACCCCTATTTCATTGTAGGAAGTTTATGGTTCCAAGTCTTACATTTTAGTCTTTAATCTATTTTGAGTTGATTTTTGTATATGGTATGAGATAGTGGTTCAGTTTTTTGCATGTGTTTTTTTCATGTAGCTGCCCAGTCTCTTAATACTATTTATTGAAGAAGCTATATTCTTGGCTTCTTTGTGTTAAATTAGTTGATCATATGTGTATGGGTTTATTTCTAGGCTCTCAATCTGTTCCACTGATCTATGTGTCTGTTTTTATGCCAATACCTTATTGCTTTGATATATACCCTTTTTTATAGGTGAGGAATTTGAGGCTTATGAGCTTGAACAGTAAAATCCTGGTTGGTAGAGCTGGAACTTCACCCTTCTAAGCTGCTTCAGCTCATGTCATTTCAAGTAGACTGGTAAAATATTTAGAATTGTTACTATATTATAATTAAATCTTACATTATTGTAAGAAAGACTAAAATGTTGTAGGACAGAATGTAGGTATGTCAGATGTTAAAATGAGATATAAAAAAAGAGAATCAGAGTAAGAAAGAGATATCTTATAAATATACGCACAAAGAAGGAGAGAGATATAAAATGAGTGAATGCATAAATAAGGTAATAGGGTACTTAGGAGAAAGAATGGTGCTGCTTAAAATATTATTTAAAGATTGGGAAACTAAGGTAGAAGTTAAATAAACTTGATTCCAAACTTACATGACTGATTAACACAGGCCCAAGATTAAAACACAGATCTGACTCATTACAGCTATTTCCAAAAATTAAAACAGGCTGTCCACATTTTTGTAATAGTAGGCTGAATAGGTCCTGCCCTAAGACTCTTACTATCAACTGTCAAATCTATATATCTGTAGGTCTATCTGTCATCTGTCTATATCAGTCTGTATATCTGTCCAGCAGTCTCTTTATAGAACTTACATATCTCTATGGATTTCTTTTCAAGTATCTATTTCCAAAACTCAGTCTCACCTTCCTTGCCATTACCTGTTCATTCTCCTTATGGGTATGTTAATGATACCACCATTCTTTTATCAACTCAGCTTAAAATCTTAATTTTTACTCTTGCACCATTTTCTTCTCCCAGGTCCAAACAGTCTTAATTACATAGATTTCTCACCCTTTGGTTAGACCAGATTTTCAACCTCAGTACTATTATCATTTGGAGCAAAAATTCATGGAAAAGAGAGCTATCCTGTATATTACAGGATGTTTAACTGCCTGTACCCATTGGATGCCAGTAGCACCTCCTTCTCTCTGTCCCCCAAAGTTATGACGATCAAAATATCTCCCAACAGTGCCAAATAAGATGAGGGCTGAGAACTGACCACTAGTTTTGGGTCATAAATAACCTTGATAATAATAGCATATTCAGTGGTAAAGTGCAATCTATACTTCTAGCATAAAAGGGTAATACGCTAATGAGACCAGATAGACCAGACATTTTCCAGACGTCCTTCTGGACAAAGCCACGGTGACGGGGGCCACGGTAGAGTGGTTGGGGCGATCAGGCCAGCAGGGCAGAGCGGTTAGGGAACGATCAGGCCGGCAGGGGAGAGTGGTTAGGGGCAATCAGGCTGGCAGGAGAGAGCAGTTAGGGGCAAGGGGCAATCAGGCTGGCAGGAGAGAGCAGTTAGGGGCAATCAGGCAGGCAGGCAGAGGCAGTTAGGGATGATCAGGCAGGCAGGCAGAATTGTTAGGGCCGATCAGGTGGGCAGGCAGGCAGGAGCTAGCGGGAGCCGCAGGGATCAGGCCTAAACCAGCAGTCGGACATCCCCCAAGGGGTCCTGGATTGGAGAGGCTGCAGGCCAGGCTGAGGGACCCTCTGCCCCCACGTGCACAAATTTCATGCACCGGGCCTCTAGTCATATATTTGTCCTTCTTCAGGTAATGTCCTTAAGGTTCATCCATGTTGTAGCATATTGCAGAATTTTCCTTTTTTTAAAGCTGAAAAATATTTCATTTATATGTATATACCACATTCAGCTTATTTATTCACATGCCTATGTTCACTGTTGTGAACATGGGTATATACATATCTCTTTGAGACCCTGCTTTTAATTCCTTTGGGTGTGATTGTTGGATCATATAGTAATTCTGTCTTTAATTTTTTGAGGAAACTCCATACTGTTTCCACAGGAGCTACACCATTTTACAACTCCAGCACATTTTTTTGTTTTGGTTTGGTTTTTTTACTTTGATAGTAGCCATCCAAATGGATAGAAAGTGGTATCTCATTGTAGTTTTGATTTGCATTTCCCTGATAATTAGTTATGTTGGGCATCTTTTCATGTACTTATTGACATTCCTCTATCTTTTTTGATAAATGTCTATTTAAGTCCCTTGCCCATTTCTGAATTGAGGTTTTAGTTGTTGAGTTTTAGGAGCTCTCTAAATATTCTGGATATTAATTTCTTACCAGATATATGATTCACAAATATTTTCTCCCAGTCTGTGGGTCATTTTCATTAAGTCCAATTTGTCTATTTTCTCTTTGGTTATCTGTGCCTTTGGTGTCATATCCAAGAAATCATTGCCAAATCTAGGGTTGTGAAGCTTCTATCCTGTGTTTTATTCTAAGAATTTTATTGTCTTAGGTCTTACATTTACATTCTTGATACATTTCAAATTAAATTTTTCATATGTTAGATAAAGATTCAGTTTCTTTCCAGGACCACTTGTTAAAAGACTTATCCCCATTAAATGGTCTTGGCACCCTCATCAAAAATCATTTGATCAAAAATGTAAGGGTTTATTTCTGGGCACTCTATTCTATTCCACTGGTCTGTGTCTATCTTTATGCCAATACCACATAGTTTTAATGTAACTTTGTAATAAGTATTGAAATTAGGAAGTGGTAGTCCTCCAGATTGGTTTTTTGTTTGTTTTTCATGATTGTTTTGGCTTCTCAAGGTCCTTCAAGATTCCACATGAAAATTAGAATGGGCTTTTTTGTTTCTACTAAAAATGTCATTGTGCCCAGCTTGCATGGCCTGTGAACCAGGAGGTTGCATTTTGATTTCTGGCCAGGGCATATGCCAGGGTTGAGGACTCGATCCTCAGCGTGGGATGCACAGGAGGCAGCTTATCAATGATTCTCATCATTGATGTTTCTGTCTCTCTCTCTCCCCCTCCCTTCCTCTCTGAAATCAATTAAAATATATATTTTTAAAAATGCCATTGGGATTTTGATAGGAATTGAATACATAGATCACTCTCAATAGTATTGACATCTTAACAATGATAAGTCTTTTAGTCTGTGAACATGGGATATGTTTCCATTTATGTCTTCTTTAATTTCAGCAATATTTTTTAGTTTTCATTGTACAAGTCTTTCACCTCCTTGTTAATTTCAAAGTATTTTATTCTTACTTTGAACAATTTTAAATAGAATTGTTTTCATTATCTATATATATATAAAAGCCAAGCGACCCTTACGACCAGAACGACCGGTTGCTATGACATGCACTGTGGTGGCCAACTGGCTCTATCTGGTCCCTGATCACCCCCCCCACACACACAACCCCCACACACACACAACCTCCACTCCCTCCGGCCAGCCCTGCCCCTGATC